CAGCACGAGAGGGGTCCCAGCTGGTGGCCCTGGCTCAGGGCGTGCCTCCTGCAGGAAGCCGAGAGGAACGCGCAGGAGCTGGTGGCGGAGGAGGAGCGGGCGAAGAGGAAGGCGGAGAAGAAGAAGCAGAAGAAGAAGGTGGGTGAGCTCTGGAAAGGGCCGCGGGGATCTGGGGTCACTGCTTCATCCTGGGGTGCTGCCAGCGGGTCCCTGAGCTGGAGGGGGCTGAGGGTGGTGGGGTTGGGGAGAGAACTGCATTTCTCTGCCTGACATCTGCTCAAGGGTCCATGCGCTCCCTTTCCAGAAACAAAAAGATCGGAAGAAACAGGAGAAAGTGGATCAAAAGAAAAAGAACAAAAAGAACAAAAAGAACACTGATCCAGTGAGTGACCAGTCTGGACCCCTCCTGCTCCTCTGGGGGGTCCTCAGAGGTGGGGGCTGGCCATCTCCCCCTAGCCCCACCACCTCACCCACTCCCTCTCCTTGCAGAGCCCCCCAAGTGGCCCTGCAGGCACTGGACCCCCCCAAAATGGTGCTGAGGATGAGGGATGCTGCCCAGAGCCCTCCCCATGCCCTGGGGACTCCAGAGATCCCTCGGGGGAGCCTGAGCCGGAGGACACGGCAGTGACAGAGGTGAGGGACAGTCTCTACAGAGGAGCCATCTGTGCCTGAGTGGTCGCAGGGCTCTGCCTGCCCATCCCTCCCTGCTTCCCCAGGAGGAGCTGGACCTCAGCTGCAGTTTTGTCTGCAAAGCACGGGAGAAGGCGAAGGTCCGGCTGCCCACCCCGGGCAGTGACCGCTCCCCTGGGACACAGAGCGTGGAGCCAAGCAGGAAGGTGCCAGAGAAGGGGGGTGGGGAGCCTGTGGAGAAACCTGTGCCCCCCCAGCCCCTCCAGCCTAGGCCACCTAGTCCCAGCACAGTAGAGCAGAGCCTGGCGCTTGCAGGTCAGTGTAGGGACCCCCAGAGGGGCGAGGGGAGGGTGCTGGGGGCTCTCCCTGCTTCTCCCCAGCTCAGGGGGGCTGGGCTAGGGGCCCATCCCTCCCCGTGTCCTCACCAACCAGCCCTGTGTGGCCTCCTCAGGCCATGGCATCGAGGCAGCCCAGATGGGCCAGCACACCGAGGCCGTTTGGGCTTTCACCGTCGCCCTGGAGCTGAACCCCCAGGAGCACCGGTGAGCAGAGAGGCTTGGGGTGAGGCAGAGGTCGTGGGGTGGGAGGGGCAGGCCTCAGTGACACCCCCATCCCCGCAGGCTCCTGGGGAACCGCTCCTACTGCCTGGAGAAGCTGGGCCGCTACAAGGAGGCGCTGGAGGATGCGGAGGCGGCGCTGGCGCTGCGGCCAGGCTGGCCCAAGGGCTCCTTCCGCAAGGGCAAGGCCCTGAAGGGGCTCCAGGTACCTGGGGGGGGTTCCAGGGACTGTGGGGCTGGCTGGAGGAGGTGGGTGCCATGGCTGGGTGAGGGGTTGATGGCTTTCAGGAGGCAGTATGGGGTTTTCAGAGTGGCT